GGAAAGCTTTTAAAAAGCCCCCCACGCTCGTTAAACGCATCATCTGCAGCTCTGGGATTTCCCTGCCCCTTTTTCAGAAGGGTCCTCGCTCTGCGGGGACCGAAATCCTCTCCAGTGACACTTTCACAACTTGTTCACGACGGCGGTGTTTATTCACAAGCGTGTTGTGCTCCCAACAGGTGCCGGGGGCAAAAGACCTTCCCAATTTGCTTCCTTCCTAATCTTTATCTACCTTTTTACTTTTGATTCTGACACCTATTTAACAACTGATTGCTAATGGCAGAAGATGCTGCTTATCTGATCGGAAAACATGAAATTAAAAAAATACAGGGTTTTGCCAGCTTATTTGGTTAAAAAGGTGGGGAGTGGAGCTGCCACGGGAGAGGTGGTTTTCCGAGGGGCGAGGGGGGTCCCTGGGCTTTCTTGCAGAGGGGTGAGGAAGCAAGAGGGGATCCAGGTGTGAGGAGGAAGCTATGCCATGCTCCACCAGCTGAATCCAGCCTTGTCCCCGCTTTGTTCCTTCTCTTTCTGTGTCAGCACCGCTGCTCCCCTCCTCTCGGCGGTACCCGAGGGGAAGGGATGCGCTCCACTTACATTTATTGGTCCCACTGGCTTACGCCAGGCAGATGGATGGGGAAATCCTCTGATGAGGTCGGTGAGGGTAGAATTTCATAACCCTGGTGGTGTTACTGAGATGCAGTGTTACCTTTTTTTAAATTTTATTTTTTTTTTAAATTTTTTTCCCTTGTTTTACCAGCACCTGTAGCACTGAGCAGAGCTGGTGAGCTGGGAGGTAGCACGGGTGGGAAGATCAGAGGTGTATTCCTACAAGGTGGCCTTTCCTTGTGAGGGGGAGCACTAAAAACCTCAGGAAAAAAATAAATAAAAGGAAAAAGTGTGTATTTTTTTTTTTTTCATCCTCCTGTAGGCAGAATGTAGTGTACTCTAACTGAAGTTCAAAGATGGTTTGGGTAGAAATGGTGCTGGGGAAAGGGGGTGCAGTTCTCCGTGGGCTTGGTCTGCTCAGTTGCTGCTGAGCTCTCCTACGTGGCTGAGGATAACGCTTTTAGCCAAGGAAAGTACCTGAAGTTTGTGACTTGATTTCAGTCTTGCACAGTCCTTGCTGTATTTTGGGGGCTTTTTTTTTTCCAGCCCCAAATTGAGATTACAGATGATGCGATTTGAATTGGAGCTTTCTAAATCTCGGAGGCAAAGGGGAGGGCTGTTATATTTCTGAGAAGACAACATAGAATATCCTCATACTATTTGTAGTGTCACCTCGGTGGAGGGGTGCTACCTGAGACCAGTCTTCCTTCCATATCTGGCCCCTGGTAGGAGAGGTAGGACTTGCTGGACACCACAGATCTCTAATAGAGAGGATCCTTGGAAGATGCCACGGCAAGATGAGCAGGAGCTCAGTGAAGAATTGAGGGGACCTTTGGAGCATCACTGCAGGATGCAGACCAGTTTCTGCTCCGGTGCTGGTTTGCTCACCCCTCGGAGCTTTCCCCTTTCCACAGAGTTTGAGGGATGGTGGTGGATGCAGAGTTAAGGTCACTAGTCTTCCTCTAGGTACAGCAGAGTATCAAAATCACCTCTCTGCTAGGATTAAGAAAGCCTTGAGAATTAGTAATCTTCGTTAAGTGGTGGTGTTCTGCCAGCCACTCTTACACAGAGGGTGCAGAAGGTGTTATCTAGGAAAATTGACTAGTGCTGTTGACTGTTGTCTATAATATATATATATATTTTGACTATAATATGAAATTTTAAAGTTGAAGCAGGTGCAGTGCTTGGATAGACCCAGACTCCGTGCTCCATTAGTGGAGGTGAGGGGGATTCAGAGGGAAGAAAAACCTATGGGAGCTTTAATTTTCACTAAACAGAGGCTTTAATGTCGACTGTACAGAAAAGCTGGATTTCTGGAAGATTGCTCACTTCATCTGCAAGAATTAGGAGCTTCAAAAAACTGGTGTTTGTGCTGCTGGTGTGTAACGTATCCTGGTGCTGCCACCATTCCTGTGGCCTCACGGGGCTGAGCTCTTGGGTGGCTCCGTGGGGGGGAAAAGGCTTCTCAGTCAGCCTAAGGTGGCTTTTTAATCCTCATAAGGGCACACGAGTCTTCTGGCCATCTTCTGTCCTCAAACAGCCTCTGCTTTCAAGGTTGATTAGTTCACAGGAAGCGACAAGTGTGGAATGTTGCTTTGGGAAGTGAGACACAAGGCTGGGATGCTTAACAGCTGTCACACCACACATACACCACATATATACATATATATATATGTACACACACATCACACCTTATCGCAGACGGTGTGTTAAGCCTGCTGGAACCATTTAACTTCTTTATAGCAAATCACACGTGAATTTCTTTTATTTTTTGGGGGGGGACATTCCTGCTTTGGGGCCATTGCATGTAGGGAACTGCAAAGCTTGTGGTTGCTCCTGTAGGGAAGGAAAGCAGTTACACCACTGAGGGGGTAAGGGGTGAACCAGCCTTGCGAGATGAAAACAAAGTGGAAGGACTTGCTGGGGGACCAGTGTTTAGAGCAGGAGGGTGTCCGAGTTGGTGAGTTGGGTTATAAATAGATGCCACCAAAGCTTTGCCCAGACTTTACTCATGCAGCCAGCCATTGTCATGCAAAATCCTGGCTAGCTCTGCTTGCGGGATGATGGTGCGTGGCCAGATTTGCTGGCATGGCTCGGTTTAGTCCCAGCCCTATTAGCATAAAACCGTATGTTGTTCCAAAGCTGAATTAAAACATCCAGTTTGGGAGCTTTCTCCTTTCCTTGGGGTGAGGAGTTCCTCCTCTGCCTCTGCCAGTGATCTTCCACCTGCCAGGGCTTTGGGGACCTGATACGGGACTCTCTTCTGAGGGCTTAAAATTGAAAAGCAACTCCAAAAAGAAAAGAAGTCATCTTCCCTCTTGTCCTACCCTCTCCAAGTGAAAGGAGGGACAAGTAGAGAGGGACACGGAGGGGAAAAACACCTCGTTGCACAAAACCTGCATTTTCAAGCCCACCTCAATCTATTCTGAACTCTGTCCTGGTGGTTCCCATTTACATATTTGATGTGCCCTTGGAGATATTGGTGAATGATCTTTGGGTTATTTGGATAGTGTCAGATTTAGGCTGTGAAGAGCAGTCCTGACCACTGAGAACTGGCTCGGTTGGCTGTTGTACAGCTCCTGGGGGAGCTTCATTCCCTCTTGTTTATCCCTGGGTCCACGTTAGCAATGAATGTGTTTAACTGCACCGGAACTGGAAAGGACTTGTTTTGGAGAGGTCCTGGTGAATTAGAGGCTGAAAAAGCTGGATTTCACTCTGTTCTCTGTCCATCAAACACCTTAAATAGATGCTTTTGAGCACACCCAATGCTTTGATGAGAAGTAGATAAGATCTCAAGGATGGCAGTAATTATTGCCAGCACTGGAATTTGCTTGCAGAGAAGAGTAGGTGAGTAGTTCAGTCAAACACAGCAAAGAATTCACAGCGCTTTCAGGAGCGGGACAGTGGCAAAACAACCTGTCAGATTTAAAGTGAAATGAGGTTGCATAAAGGCAACTTGAAGTAGGGCAGGAACGTGTTGGAGAAGAGAAAGCACCAGAGTGTAAGTGGGAGAGCTGCTCATCAGTGCTCGTTGGCATCCCTGGTAGCTACACAGAGTGCCACAGAGCCTGCTAGTGATGCCAGGGAGCCTTCTGAGCACTGCTCCAGTGTGCACTCTTTGGCTTTATGCTGGTGAGCAGGGCCAGGATGCTGGTAGGACCACGGCTGTGTGATGTGCTGTATCCAAAATACTCCTGGTATAGTGGGTCTGTGGGTTTCCCTGAGGTTACACCGTGTCTTACGTGTGTTAAAGAGGGAGCGCTTTACTTCAGGGCTTCGTAAGTGATTTCAAAATCTGACTACGCATCCTGCTTTGTGCTTCCTTCTTCCTCCCACATTCTTCTAGCATCTCTCAGAGCTGGCTGCCATCCTGCCTGGACTCTCCGGGAGGTTCTTTCTGCTTTCAAAGTAGGCAACTTTATCCAGGCTGTGTGTAGGTAACGCGCCTTCCCCCAGTCTGTTGTGTTCAAATACTGCATTCAGTGAGCTTTCCGTTGCTCAGGGTCTGCCTGTGCTTGAGACACCCCTCCTTTAAGTGGGATTGAAGAAATCATTAACTTTTAAGCAGAGTATTTTATTTCTAACAATAAGGCTGTATTATTTGGGATAAAACACAGCTGTATGTTTCATGCAGAATGCTGGATCTTAATTCACAGAATCACAGAATCTTCTAGGTTGGAAGGGACCTTAAAGATCATCTTGTCCAACCGTCAACCTAACTGACAAAAATAGACACCCACACAACAAACAAGGAGCATCATCACTAAACCAGACCTCCCAGCACTACATCAACCCGTCTTTTGAACACCTCCAGGGATGGTGCCTCAACCCCCTCCCTGGGCAGCCCATTCCAATGGCTGAGAACCCTTTCAGTGAAAAAATTTTTCCTAATATCCAGCCTGAACCTCCCCTGGCGCAACTTGAGGCCATTTCCTCTTGTCCTGTCGCCTGTGACTTGAGAGAAGAGACTGACCCCCATCTCTCTACACCCTCCTTTCAGGGAGTTGGAGAGGGCAATAAGGTCTCCCCTCAGCCTCCTCTTCTCCAGGCTGAACACCCCCAGCTCCCTCAGCCTCTCCTCATAAGACTTATTCTCCAGGCCCCTCACCATCTTTGTTGCCCTTCTCTGGACCTGCTCCAGCACCTCAACGTCTTTTCTTATGGTAGGGGGCCCAAAACTGGACACAGTACTCAAGGTGAGGCCTCACCAGTACAGGGGGACAATCACCTCTCAGTGATTCCTCTTTCCTATCTCGAGATATCAGTAACCTCAACGAACAGACAGAAACTTGCCCTACCTGCTCTTGGTTGAAGTTTAGTGTCCACGGCGCCGGAAGGGAGCGATGAATCAATTGCCTTTTTGTTAATTGGTGTGGGTTTTTTGTTTTTTTTTTTTCACAGGTTTTGTAGTGCTTCCCCGAGCATGAGTTCAGAATGAAGCGGCGATTGGATGAGCAGGAGTCACCCGTGTATGCGTCGCAGCAGAGACGTATCACCAGCAGCACCGAAGCTTTCCAACACCAGCACCGCGTGCTTGCCCCGGCACCTCCGGTATATGAGGCGGTTTCGGAGACCATGCAGTCTGCCACCGGCATCCAGTACTCCGTAACTCCCAGCTACCAGGTGCATGACCAGCCCAGCCCCTCGTCATTTCACCCTAGAAGTCTGTCTTTGAGATGAGGTTTTATATTAGTAACCAGGGTTTCCTAAAGAGAAATCAGGATTGGACAATGCGCTTATCATACGTCCCATTTTAAGCACTTGCTCTAGGACTATTGGCTTTGTTTGTGTTCAGAGTCACCTGAACACACATGGTGTGCTTTTTTGAATGTGATTCTTTTAGTGACTCTCTCAGATCATAGAATCATAGAATGGTTAGAGTTGGAAGAGACTTAAAAGAGTATTGAGTTTCAACCTACCCACCCTGGGCAGGGACACCTCCCACCAGACCAGGTTGCTCAAAGCCCCATCCAGCCTGGCCTTGAACCCCTCCAGGGATGGGGCAACCACAGCTTCTCGGGGCAACCTGGGCCAGGCTCTCACCACCCTCACAGTAAATAATTTCTTTCTAGCATCTAATCTAAATCTCCCCTCTTTCAGTTTAAAACCATTACCCCATATCCTATCCCTACACTCCCTGAGAAAGTATCCCTCCCCATCTCTCCTGTAGGCCCCTTTAAGTACTGGAAGGCCATTAAGGTCTCCCCGGAGCCTTCTCTTCTCCAGGCTGAACAACCCCAGCTCTCTCAGCCAGTCCTTGTAGGAGAGATGCTCCAGCCCTTTGATGATTTTCGTGGCCCTCTGCTGGACCCATTCCATCAGGTCCATGTCCTTCCTGTGTAGAAATCACTCAGTGTCTCAGTAAAATATTTCTGTTCTATCTCAAAGAAAGGCTTAAAACCTTCTGATCTTCAGAAACTCTTAACTTGTTTCTGAAATTAAAAAAAAAAAAAAAAAAAAAATCAGTCCTAAATGGTCTCTAAATCCTAAAGGCTAGTGTTTTGGTTTTTTTTTCCATTTTCCATTCCAGGGCTTTTTTTCCATTTTTCTTTTTTTCTCCCCAGGAAAAGGTTCATTCTTATGGTTGCTCTGCCACAGGTGTATGATATCTCGGGTGATCTTATGCTTAACAGGCTGGATTAGATGAGCATTTGGACTGGAGACTTTCAGGAAGCTTGAAATGTTTCAGACAACGTGACCCCCAGAGTCATTAGGTGGCAATCTTTCCTCTCTCACCTCCTTTGCAAGGAGCTGGCAGATTGGGAGAGGAAAAAAAACCCACATGTGCTTTTAAGAGCGCGCTGAAGATACTGGCTGGGGAAAGGCAGTTCCTGTGTGATGTGGCTTTGTCGTGTTTTTGGCGTGTTGCATCTTCCGTGCTGCTGGGTGAGCTGCCCTCCCTCTCTGGTGCCTGATTTTACACACAGCTTCTTCCTCACTTCTGCAGGAGGAATGCTCACGCTGCGAGTAGCAGCCGCAGAGCTGGAGAGCCCGCAGGCAGGGACGGGAAGAGGAGGGTGTGTTTATGCTGGCAGTCCTTCCTAAAAAGAACTTGAATGGACCAGCAAGAAAACCGTTTCTTGGTTCACGAGAAGGATTAAAAAAAGTATATCCCGTCTAAAAGGGCAGTTCCTGTGTGATGTGGCTTTGTCGTGTTTTTGGCGTGTTGCATCTTCCGTGCTGCTGGGTGAGCTGCCCTCCCTCTCTGGTGCCTGATTTTACACACAGCTTCTTCCTCACTTCTGCAGGAGGAATGCTCACGCTGCGAGTAGCAGCCGCAGAGCTGGAGAGCCCGCAGGCAGGGACGGGAAGAGGAGGGTGTGTTTATGCTGGCAGTCCTTCCTAAAAAGAACTTGAATGGACCAGCAAGAAAACCGTTTCTTGGTTCACGAGAAGGATTAAAAAAAGTATATCCCATCTAAAAGAGGCTTGAATGGAAAGCTGTGTAAAATGAGAAGTAATTTAATTTTTTTTTTTTTAAAGGCTCTTTTAACATATTTTCCAAAATTGAAACTTAACAGGCTGGATTAGATGAGCATTTGGACTGGAGACTTTCAGGAAGCTTGAAATGTTTCAGACAACGTGACCTCCAGAGTCATTAGGTGGCAATCTTTCCTCTCTCACCTCCTTTGCAAGGAGCTGGCAGATTGGGAGAGGAAAAAAAACCCACATGTGCTTTTAAGAGCGCGCTGAAGATACTGGCTGGGGAAAGGCAGTTCCTGTGTGATGTGGCTTTGTCGTGTTTTTGGCGTGTTGCATCTTCCGTGCTGCTGGGTGAGCTGCCCTCCCTCTCTGGTGCCTGATTTTACACACAGCTTCTTCCTCACTTCTGCAGGAGGAATGTTCACGCTGCGAGTAGCAGCCGCAGAGCTGGAGAGCCCGCAGGCAGGGACGGGAAGAGGAGGGTGTGTTTATGCTGGCAGTCCTTCCTAAAAAGAACTTGAATGGACCAGCAAGAAAACCGTTTCTTGGTTCACGAGAAGGATTAAAAAAAGTATATCCCGTCTAAAAGAGGCTTGAATGGAAAGCTGTGTAAAATGAAAAGTAGTTTAATTTTTTTTTTTAAAGGGCTCTTTTAATGTATATTCCAAAATTGAAATTTTTCTGGTTTACTGTGTGAGGGAGACCTGAAAAATACATGCCTTCTGTTCCTTGCACTGGTTTTCGAGGGGAGGTCACAAGCTGAGTTTTTCCCTGAGTCTGCTGGGGCCAGAGAACTTCACTTGGACTTCAAGAGTGTGGAGGCCCTTTAAGAGTCATTCATTCAAATTATTGCTTGTCACACTAAGTGGGTTTTTTTTCTAGAGAAGACAGAGAACTTTTATTTTAACTTTTTTTTAAAGGCCTGCAATGACAGGACGAGGGGCAATGGCCTCAAGCTGGAGGGGAACAGATTTAGACTGGAGATGAGGAGAGGGTTCTTCACTGTGAGGGTGGTGGAGCACTGGAACAGGCTGCCCAGGGGGGTGGTTGAGGCCCCTTCCCTGGAGATATTCAAGGAGAGGCTCGACGAGGCCCTGGGCAACCTGGTCTAGTTGGGGGTGTCCCTGCTGACTGCGGGGAGGTGGGACTAGATGACCTTTGGAGGTCCTTTCCGGCCTGGACAACTCTATGACTCTATGACTTTATCAGGCTGAAAATCCCATTTTATGCTCCTTTTGCAGGTCTTTATGTTAGTGTTAGTGACTAGACAAGCAGGGAGTCTGTAGGTTGGAGAGAACCTGCGTCGGTAATGTGTTTAGAGAGAGGACTCTCCTCTACTTGGAGTGTAGGATGAGTCGTCTTGTTGGGGTTTTAGATCTCTCTGGGTGATTGTTATAGAAAACAAAACACGTTTTTTGAGTAAGTCTCAGCGTTCATGCTCTGGTTCAAGTTCAGACTGACCGTGTTTCTGCTTCCTTAATCTTGTGTCTCCGGGTTTGGAAAGATCTTGCTGTGTCCCCGTGGAGGTGGCCGTGAAGCTGCAGCCACGTAAATGTCATCCTCTTTGCCTTGCCAGGTGTCGGCCGTGCCGCAGAGCTCGGGCAGCCATGGGCCGGCCATCGCCGCCGTCCACAGCGGCCACCACCACACGGCGCCGGTGCAGCCCCACGGGAGCCAGGTGGTGCAGAGCCACGCTCACCCCACGCCACCAGCCGTCCCCGTGCAGGGCCAGCAGCAGTTCCAGAGGCTCAAGGTAACACCCACCATCGCTGCCTTAAATAAAACAACCTCTGCCTAAATCCTGGGGGCAAGCGGGGACCTCCTGTAGGGACACCTCTCTGCAGAGCCAGGTGGTGACCTCCTAAAACCTTTCTTGACAAGGCTTCTCCTGTTGGGAGAATGCAGAAAGGGACTTCTTCTGCTGAAACCCCTTTTTATTAGGGTATTTGAAACAAATACCCTAATAAAAAACGGACTTGCTGGGAAAAGATGAGGGGCAGGAAGGAAAAGGAGGAAGTATCGATCAGGGGTTTTCATACGAATGGGTTAAATTGCCAAAACATTTGGTGCTTTTCGGAACACATGGCTTATGTGGGTGGTTGCGTGGGAGTAATTTGGGAGTAAGGAAGGCTCTATTCTGGGATTATGTGCTGTAAAATCCTTAAAAAAGAGAAAACTCCACCAAAAATAACCCGTTGAAGTGGCTACATTTGGTTCGGCTCTAGTGAGAAGGCACAGATATATATAAATTGATGCCTATTTCTTAGTCTTTTCCAAATATGGTGCAGGTCTCTTCCAGTTTCGGTTGGAACCTGCTGCCTTGTTGGGTGAGAGGCCCTTTCCTTTCGCTGAATGTAGGATGCTTCGTTTCTAGAGACCTCTGAAAATGGTTTCTTAATGTGTGGTTCTTTCTCCCAGTGAAATCGATGGCAAATCCTCTGCCGACCTAAGATTGGGGCTCTATGTGATAGTCTTTCTTGCTTTGCTGTCGTTTAATTTCAGGCAAAGGAGAGGTTTTGTGTGTAGCTCTTGCAGCTGATGAGCGTGTGGGACCCAGAGCTCTCCTTTTAGGCTGTGGCTGTTCTTTCAGTACATCTGAAAATTGGATGTTGGTACACGAACGGTTCATAAACTTCTTGCTGTTTGAGGTGTAAAACAATTTACCGCCCACAGTTGCCATTTTCAAAATCCTTCTGTGTCGAACTGAAATGTCTGGCTTTTAGGAAAAAAAAAGTACAAGCGTGTACCTGGCAGACATCTACTACACTGAGTATGTCATTTCCACTTTCTGCTTATTCTTAGACTTCCATAATAATTTCCACATACGAATGCAGGAAAAAATACTCAGTCTAGTTCTGTTTATCCTAGCAGTCACTTCAGTGATGGTAAATTTGGAGTAATTTTTTTTTTTTCTCTGAGTAATTCTGCTGATCTGTGTTGCTTTTTTTTTTTTTCCCCCCCTTTTTTTGTTTCTTTCTGGTGCAGTTTTATCTTGTGAGCCAGGAGTGGGGAGTGAGTATCTCTTATTCAAACAGTGCTGGTAGTAGACTAACAAGGCTCATGATGTTTTGCTCCTTAATTCCCTGCCCAGGCTCAGGGCTAACAGCTGTGTTTTCAAATAACGCGTGTTTTTGCAGAACAATGGGAGGTGAAATAAAATCTTCTCTTGCTGATATAACCTGTCTGTTCTGTCCCCAGGTGGAGGACGCGTTGTCTTATCTTGACCAGGTGAAGCTGCAGTTTGGTAGCCAGCCACAGGTCTACAATGACTTCTTGGATATTATGAAGGAATTTAAATCTCAAAGGTAATAAGCTGCATTTCGCTCGTTCCTTCCAGGTTAGAAAGAGTGTATGTGGGCATGGGAGTCCTGTCCCCGCGTCTGCAGAGTAACATGGCTCTAGTAGTAGGGTCAAAATAGTTGTGTGCTTTCCTTTTTGAAAGTTAAACCCTTCATTTCTGCTAAATCTGTGCTTGGGATGGGAGTTCACAAGTTCACCCTTGATAGCTGTTTTATCTGGTTGTCTGTCTGCCCATTAATAATTGGCCTTATTGAGGTTCAATAAGGCAAAGTGCCGGGTCCTGCCCTTGGGTCACACCAACCCCATGAACACTCCACAGCCTTGGGGCAGAGTGGCTGGAGCTGCCTGGCAGAAAAGGACCTGGGGGTGTTGGTTGCCTGTGGGCTGAACAGGAGCTAGCAGAGTGGCCAGGTGGCCAAGAAGGCCAACAAC